TGATTTCAAAAAATTAAACGCAATATTAGTTCTTGCTCCTAGTTTGGCAGTTAGGGCTCAGTGCTATGCTATTAATTTCTCCTTCCGCATTTCTGGCTTGTGGGCATCTCTTAAGGCTTGTTACCTTGTTGTCAACTACGATTGCAAAAAATTAAATGCAATGCCAGTTTTCATCTTCTGTCTTTTTGAATCTTGTTCTTTTATTCTTTTATTCTCCTCTGGTTCATTCTCAATAACGCCTAGTGGGGTTTTTTCTGCCTTACTTGAGGTGAAGTAATTAAAAAATTGAAACGAACTTAGTGTGTTTACAAAATAAAAAGCTATCTATACGAACGAATGGTTCTTATATTATTTTTCATAAGTTGGTAAAAACTTTAAGCTTTCTTTATTCTTTGTTTGGTCATTGTTTCCTTGGGAGAGTGTCTCGCCTAACTCGAACACCACTTCACTGACTGATTTCTGTTTGAATTCCCACTTCATATGGTCATAAAACACCCACCCCAAAAAATGAAACAGCCCTTCATTATTACAAAACTATGACATGCAGTCGAACAACTTGAGGGGAGAGAAATCTTTTGGGTTCTCATTTTCTTGTTATTAACGTTAGCTCGTCGCATTTATTGACTCAACTATTTTTCATTGTTTCTTTTCTCATAAAAGTGGATTTATCCTGAAATATGCAATAATCACCAGGCCACTCAGGGCGAGGTATTGGTTAACCGTGCTGGTTTAGTTACACCCCAGTTGCCCCATTGAAAAAAAAAAGATATTTATGACACAAAAAATGGTTAATATGCTGTAAAATCAATCAGCAAAAAAGTCAGGATCTCTCTACAAATATTCTAACAAGACTCATATTTACAAAACTAAGAATACAAGTAACATTTTCCCAATGAAAGAAACAGAATATATCTAAAACAAATCATTAGTAGGTGGTCCTTACTCTCAATCTAACATGACAAGTAATGTAAATTAAAAGACCGAAAAACATGTAAAAAAAAAAACAAAATAGAAAAGGAAAAACAATGTCAAATATTCATTCATTACCAGAGAACGTTGAGTTGTATCATCTGAAACGATAAAGAATGGCAAACAAGAAACGGAAATGCGTTGAATTAAGAAAATAAAAAAGTACCAATAAGCTAAATTAAAACTAGTGTAACTAAAGAAAGGAAATACTATTCTATCTTAACTCGGGTTGGGCTGAGAGGTCTTTCGCAGAAATCTAAATCCAGTTAGTGCAGGATGCAAATACAAGTTAGCATCTAACACACGACACCATCGAATCGTTCATTCATCTTTGACCAACATTCAACGATATCAAACCTAACTTTACCGATGATCGTAACCTTCGTAGCATATCTCTAGGCAAAGAAGTTAATTTGCGGCGCCTACGTCCTGTCCACGTAACATGCGATATTTTAAGTATTCTGCTTGTTGAAGCCCTTACAGAACCCGTACCGCTTTTAACAGATTCCTGATGTGGTTCGTCTCTTTGCTACCAAAATATATCCGTTCTTCGGTCATAGAATCCTTCACAAAAAAAAACAGGTTTTTCCAGCCGAATAATTTCCGCCGATGAATATCCAAATATCAAGCAAAGTCCGAGGAATATTTGCTGTTAATGTTGAACTATACAGAGGCTCACTTGATTGCGGCTCACTACCGACTGCGTAAACTCATTTGAAAGTGTATGTTTTCAAATACACAGTACGATCAATTTAGTTGGTTGCCAAGTTACATCAAAGGCGAAATATTGAAAATGTCTAGCTACTTTCGAGAGATCCGCTCACAGACATTTCTACACCTGCCCATAGTATAAAGAGAAGCGAGAGTCGGTACGAATTTTAATGATCAGAGTAGGACACAATATAACAGTTTGATTTCTAAAGTGTCATTGATTATTCTCTTTCATCTCCGTCGATATGTCCGCGTGAAAAGGCCTGCATCTGATTTGAAAACTCCTGTCAAAGGATAGTAATGTGGACATGCTTAGGTAAGACCACCATCTTGCATTTCACATAAAAGCAGGAATTCACATTGAAATAATCGCTATACTACCCAGTCAGAGAGAATTGATTCTCTAACAAAGTACTGGACAATTCTCTTGAAAAGTTCCCATTAAAATTGCCTATTCTTCTTAAGACGAACAATCTGAAAACAAAGTTTGTACAAACTTCTGAGAAATTTTGGATCTTTTAATTGCATTGAGAATAAATTCTCTCTCTCTCAATCTCTCTTTCTCTCTCTCTCTCTCTCTCTCTCTGTATATATATATATATATATATATATATATATAGAGAGAGAGAGAGAGACACACACACACACACACACACAAATGCTGCAGTTGGGAAAATTACAATTTTTGCTTAGGTTTGAACAATTTGTTTTAAGATACATTTCACGCTGTTTTAAAAATTACTACCGTCGGTTTTAAACAAGAAAAACATTAAGTTGTTGTTCGGCTATAAATATAACTTTTAATGATTGTTGCCAAGAAACAAATGAAGAAACTGTAAATGATTTCTGAAAAGTGAAGTCTTGTAATGCTTTATAAGAAATATTGCAGACAACGAGAAATATAAAAAGTATTAAAATTAGGTGAGTGATTAATTAGTACTAAGAAAAACTATTTTCCATACATTATTTTTTTGTATACAAGACAAGTGTTTTTTTATATATATATACAAGACTAAGGTAGCGTCTAAATCTAAAGAAAAATTTGTAACGTTATCAGTTCAGACCTGGCATCTCAGCTTCAGTCTCTTACTTACCGTCGTAATGTAGCTTCCCAGAGCCTTTTCATGGTAATTGCTCTTGGGGGGGGGGTCTTCTTTTTTTTGTAACGTTAATTGCATTGAGAAGAAAAGAAAACAGAAATTCTTTTGCATCAGTTGTTCTAGATATAATACTATTTAAATATCCGGGACGACGTATTTCCATCATTCTTAATTTTCTTCATTAGTATCTATTTTATCTTATTGTTTAGAAATTATAAAGAATATATTGCAGAGGCGTATTCTTTATCTACGATAAAATACCAATTCTCGTACGATCGCCGAAGTTGAGCAACGCCGAGCCTGGTCAGTACCTAGATAGGTGAACGACGTATGAATATATGTTTCTGAAACGTGTTTTCTTTTTTAGATCTTCTTATATTTGTTGGCATGAACTCCAAAACAATCCAGCCAATATCTCGTCAGCGGTCTACCTGATTGGTTGAATTTGTTTAGCGACATATTATCACCTTTATGGGTTATTTAAGGCCGAAACCTAAATATCCCACACGCAATTTTATACTTTCAACTACAGATACCTTATATATCATTTTATTCTCTCAGAGGGTAGATCATAAATTTTTTTTTTTTTTTTGGAGCTTAAATATTTGCCATAGCTGGGACCGTAACAGATGCTACTACCCGGGGTCAGGGTAGGCCTGAAAACAATACCAGTGCTTCCACGTTCCTTGAAACCTCCCGATCAGAAGCCTTGCTGCCGAATAGTGATATGGGGATCTTCCTTGAGTGGCGAAATTTTCAAGATTTTAATAAATTCGGGACGAAGACCATGCGAAAGTTCATGAACGAAAAATCTGGGTCCTCGTTTTTGTGGTCTCTGCCATATTGGAACATATCCTTAATATTGGCGCCTAGCCCATGGATATGTGCGATTTAGAGGGTCATGTTTTACTATTACGGGCGAGCAGCCCGAGTTTATGAAATCCTGAACGGGTATAGATAAACTCAGACAAGTCTCCGACTGGAACATGAGGTCTGGTTTGACCTGGTGAAGATGGTGTTCAACTTCTAGGAATTTGGATCGAAGACCCCCCCTCACATTTCTCTAAGAGATGCTGAACCTTGGAAGTACTGTTTTGCCTGTTTGGATTTGTATCTTCTATATTACTTTGATTATTAATCTCGAAGAGAAAATAATAACAATATTTTCATCCTACCTTAAACACAAAAGTAGGAATGAAAATTCCGCCATTACTTGAAAGCGCGACAATTACTAGCGGACGGGATAAACCTATTCTCTGAAAAACTCTCAGTATAAAGACAGATTTTATAAATTTCAATCGATAGTCAGGCTAACTGTTGCGCATAATGAATGAAATTTCACATAATTACCTTTCGAACAGGTTATAGACACCCAGACTATTTTACCTGTAAATATTTTTATTATTATGAAAGCAAGTAATATTAAAAGTAACAACACACAGAGCTTTATCTATTTTCACCAACAATGGCTAAGACAATTTACATTCTTTTCCACCGTCAAATGTTAAAACACGAGTTAAAATCATTTATTCATCATCAATTATTAAAAGAAATATAGAAGTCTCTGAATATTTTAAGCACATCAGGCGTAACAGTCTCTGCAAATCCAAAAGTTTCTAAATTATCCTGGGGTTTATTTTAACGATTCCGGTAAAATAAGCTTAAAAGCAGGTTTGTCTATTTTACTGGAACCAACAAAATAGACTCTCCCAATATTTTTAATAAATCCCACACGTAATATTTCGGAGAACATAAAGAAAATGCTTGGAATTTTAATATTTTATTAACGTTTCCATTAATTCATGGCAACTGACAATCACTTTGTTTCGGACTTTATGCCGAACATACATACAGTTTGTAACTAGATGGTGGGGGGAGGAGAAAAAAAAGAAAAAAAAGAAAAAAAAAAGAAAGAAAGAAAGACGTTGAAAGTGAGATATATAAAGTGATAAACAGAGAGATAGATAAAAAATGAGATAGATATATAAATAGATAGATAGACTGTTATGATGTTGATTTGGGGTTAGTAAAGACAAACGCCAAATAACACGTAACAATATTAGGTTGGTAAGTAGGTACAGAATCGCCTGAGTAGTCTCTAACGAGCTCAGCCAAAAACTTCTCCGTTTCTCTGTCTTCTGACATACCACTATTTAACGTCTTTGTTCGCAGACAAGTTCATCATCAAGAGGGGTGGTAGGTTTCCGACACAACATAGACATTGAAAATTTGATAGATAGATAGATAGATAGATATTGAAAATTAGACAAATAGACATTGAAAATGAGATAGATAGATAGATAGATAGATAGATAGATAGATAGATAGATAGACATTGAAAATTAGACAAATAGACAGACATTGCAAATGAGATAGATAGATAGATATTGAAAATTAGACAGACAGACAGACATTGAAAATGAGATAGATAGATAGATAGATAGATAGATAGATAGATAGACATTGAAAATGAGATAGATATATAGATAGAGAGATATGTCAAAATGAAATAGTAGATATATATAGATAGTAAGACAGTCAGGCAGACAGACAATTAATATAATACTTGGTTTTATATTAACATTAACAAAAATCACATTAATCAAAGATGAAGGAACTGTCTGTAGATTTCGGTTTCAAAATACGAATAATGACATTTTTTTAATAAATTCGCATGCCTGCCGGAAAATGTAAAATTGGGGAAAAACAATGCTTTGAGCCAACTGTTTGCTTAGAGAAAAGGAAAACGGAATAGTAAATGAACATTGGAAGAATATTAAATTAAATATTACTAAATCATTATGCAAAAAAAATCGAAATCTTTCACTGCAATATGCCAAGACAGACCAAATCCGCCATGATGTTTTATTAAGAATAACAAAATTATTTTTCAAACCTTTTCGCTTCGGCATACTGCTACTCGACTTTCAATCGAGTCTTGCACGCAAGAACTTGATTGCGACATGGAAGGAGGCTCGTCTCATACGAGATTCTTTTCCAATTTTTTACCCGCCCGTCCCCCACCTCTCTTCTTTGAAGAATGCCGAAACATAGCCTTTCAAAGACAACAGTGATGCGACATTCCCCTTGGTCTCCAACCCATCCATCTTTTTTAAGCAGCCCTCTCCCTTGTTGCAACGTTCAGCATTACAGGGACTTAAAGCAAATACCAAATCCGTTATTTCTGGTTTTGCTTTAATGCTTTTCATCTTGTTTAAGAACTGTGACGACCCCTTGAAGATTGCACACACACACACACACACACGCGCAAACACACACACACGCAAGCACACACACAACTGTGGACGTTTACAAATACCTAATTATTATTATTATTAGTAGTAGTAGTAATAGTAGTAGTAGTATATTGCCTGCTTTTGAATGTTTACACCAGATATCAGAATTTAAATATGTCCACTAATTCGTGGGGGAAGTATCCGGTACATTGTCAATTTAACGTATGTTGCCCATAAGCATACATATGGATCGAAGAATAAACTAATCTATTATCGATATCCACAAACCCTCCCTTTTTCGAGCCATAGAAAGGTGTTGTCTCAGGGTCAGAATGCCGTCATTAAAAAACGACAAAGTGCCTAGCGACAGAAAAAAAAAGAAATCAAATACTACACTTTGCCACGTTATTTACCCATCTTCCAACGGTGGCCGTATGTGCCATAAGGTCGATAGGGTGACATGCATAGAGACCAAGGATAAAAATTTCCCAGTCCTCAATACCACTGATAGATTGATATTTGTATCTAATCTATCTGCCTGCCTATCTATCTATCTATCTATCTATCTATATATATATATATATATATATATATATATATATATATATATATATATATATATATATATATATATATATAGCCAGATAGAGCCAACCCTCTCCAGGCCGGTTTTGAATTCAGTTTTTCCTTCACTTAGACCGGTTGCTACTCAAGGCTATAGAACCCAGTCTGTCCCGCTATTTAGATCCATACTTTTACAAGGGTAATAGTGAATGTAATGGATCCGACTGGAATTTGAACTCGTCTCTCCGATTCCTCAATCCGGGCTGCAATCCATTGAGGCACGGTGGAGTAATGGATAGCGGCTCTTATATGGTAAAAATAAATAAAATGGAAACAGTGGAAAGGTATCAATTAGCGGTTGTGTTTGCAGATTTCAGAACATCTCAAAAAGCTCTATTTCGTCTTTTTAAATAAATGCGTCTGAATTTGAAGAAGGAGCCCAGTTAATATTTTCATTTGCTAACAATATAATTGCTGAATTCTCAGCTTGCCACCGTAATCAACATCGTCTGTGGATCATTAGAGAGAGTCAAAAGGGAGTTTGATATGGCGCGATGGTTAGCAAACTTGTTTTTGTAAATCAGTTTGCAATTACAATTATTTAGATCCTCTGTGTGTATCCCGATTCATTTGGCCTTGTACCAGGACTAAAGATAAAGCGTCATAAGTGGTCATTGTAGCGACCGCAGTAATAATTAAGTTTATCGCGTTCTTTTGGCTCCTGGGTCTGTTGAGTACAATCTGGGATGCATCAACACAAATGTCTCGATTAAAAAAAGAATGGGAAAATAAAATGAAAATGCTCTAAGAAAGAAAGAAAGAAAGAAAGAAAGAAAGAAAGAAAGAAAGAAAATGTTTTAAAAAAGGAATAGAAAATGAAAAGTGTTTTAAGAGAGAAGGAAAGAAAGAAAGAATGAATCAAAAGAAAGAAAGAAAGAAAGAAAGAAAGAAAGAATGAGAAAATGAAAAGAAAATGTCATGAAAAACAAAGAGAAAATGAAAAAGAAAATGTTTTAAGAAATAAAGAAAGACAAAGAAAGAAAGAAAAAAATGAAAAGAAACGGTTAAGAGAGAGAAAGAAAATAAAAAGAAAGAAAGAGGAAAAAGAAAATGATCTTAGAAAGAAAAAATGCGAAAGAAAGCAAGAGAAAATGAAAACAAATTGTGCTTAGAAAGAAAGAAAAAGAAGAAGAAAAAGAATGAAACGGAAAATGTTTTAAGAAAGAAAGAAAGAAAGAAAGGATGAATGAGAAAATGAATTCAAAATGTTATGAGAGAGATAGTGAAAATCAAAAGAAAATGTTTTAAGAAAGAAAGAAAGAATGAATGAAAGAAGGAGAAGATGAAAAGGTTTTTTTTTAAAAAATGCAAAAAGAAAGAAAGAAAGAATGAAAAAATAAAAATGTTCTAAGAAGGAAAGAAAGATGGAAAGAGAAAATGAAAAAAAAAGGAAATGAAAAGAGATTGTTCTAAGAACGAAAAAACGTAAAGGGAAAGAAGAGAAACATAAGATAAATTGAAAAGACAATGAATTAAGAAAGTGAGAGAGAGAAATGGTAAACAAGAGAAAATAAAATTACGATAAAATAAGAAAAAAGGACACGTCAAATAAAAAGAAGAGAGAAAAGAAAGACAGAATAGCAACAAAGATGAGGATATTAGTCAAAATAGAAAAAAATAACTTTAATGATTTCCAAAGCTGTACTATGATAGGAAGCAAAATGGATTGTCTGTCACAAAATCATAATAAGCCGACCTTCATTGATGCTTATTTAGTAGCTTTTTTTACTAAATGTTTACCTAATAAAAGGCCCAAGAGCCACTGAAGATAGATGGTTACTAAATGATGTGATTGTACGGATGTAAGAGGATGACGTAAGTGCAGATTATGAGGATATGTAGGATAGATAAGAGTTGAAAACTAGACTTGATGAGGTTACGATTATAGTGAATGGTTCAGACGTTGCTTAATGTGTGAATGTGAAGAAATTAGATTCGGAAGATAGTGTTCCGTCAAACTTATAAGGACCTTAATTCAACAGTTCAAACATATTATTTCTGAACTCGAATGCCCATCTGTAATCCCAGATGTAGTCATCTGTAACTTCAAATATTATTTTAGTGGGTACACAAGTTTGAATAGACGCCCTGCTCTTTTTGTTTTCTTTTTGTTTGTTGTGATTTAATTACCTCTACCGGCCTGCTCATTCGAGAAACTTAATAGAGAAAATATGCTGTCTGACAAGGTGAGCGATCTAGAATACTCTGGATCAGACCATGATTTTTCCCTCAAAGAAAAACGCAGGTTCGAATTTTATCGGAGTGCACGTTCTGTTTAAGTTTATCGAATATGGAGGCCAGTAGGTAATACCACCCGTAAATAACTCTCAGATGCGTGTCAATTCTTATTATCATTCTCTACAAGTGGATAAACACAAGCGTCGATTTGTGTGTTTGTAAGAGATCGGGTGGTGCAAGCATACAAATATATAGATAATGTATAGGCTCAAATAAAATTCATAACCATTTCTCATTCTGAAATGATCTCCATTTTCTTCAGCTGTATCTGGCCTGTCACATCGCCAGACTTTGTCCAGAATTAACTCTTTCAAAAGACGGCCAAGCAGTATGATAGACTTATTGCTTTCAGATTATTCGAAGACCTCTTGAACGAAAGAAACGTTTCTTCAAAATGGTAGCCAAGGCTCCGCATTGGCCTTTCTGTTGCCAAAATATCTTTGTATTCGTTAACCATATTTGCCAACCACGCAAACTTATTTTGGATACGGACATCGTTCTGTTCGACAGGATAACAAATTGTGATCGGCTCCTTGTGTAAAGCAAGGCTAAGCACACTCGTCTCCTCTAGATGATAAACTAAGTCAGTGAGCTCGCTCTAAAATAACTCCTTACTCTTGTGACCTTTTGTCAAACAGAGTTATGTCTATTAAATTAAAAAGCGCTTCGGCGTGGAGCAATTAATGTTATTTCTTTAATCATTACTATTGTTGTAGTTTCGATCCCAACTTACATATATATCTGCAGCAGGTCTAAGAATGTGACAAGATTAATAAACGTATGTTAGATACGCTGCCGGTTATCCTGCTGTTTCCACCCAAGATGTTCACAGATCTCCACAACGTCCCATCTTTTGTAGCTCTATACAGTTCTTGCTTCTTTACTATCCCTCAAAGTTTATGTTCTGCTACCCATTTGCACAAGCTACTTAGGTAGGTTACTATATTTAGATGGGGACCCGAGTCCGTACACCCGGGACAGGAACAGAAATTCCCCTCAGCCCCCGAGTTTTTGAAAGCGATACTTAAAGTGGCTGGAGTTCACTGGACTAGTGGAAGTTCTACAAGATTCTAGGCACGTATCCCGTGGTTTTTGTCATGTCAGTGCATAATATACATAGTTTAGAATCTGCTATATCTAAATATTATTTACAATGTGTTATATTTACAGAGGGATATTACTCAATATTGGAAATAGGGCGCTTATACATATAAACAGTATGGACGTAAGAATCAAAACTTCTTGAGGACGGTCATTGCAATCTTCAAAGAACGACAGAAAGAAAGAAAGAAAGAAAGAAAGAAAGAAAGAAAGAAAGAAAGAAAGAAAATAGTTTAAGAGAGAAAGAAAGAAAAAACGAAAGTGAACGCAGAAAGAAAATGTTCTAAGAAAGAGAAAACGAAAATAAAATATTCTAAGAAAGAAAGAAAGAAAGAAAGAAAGAAAGAAAGAAAGAAAGAAAAAAAGAAAGTGGAAATTAAAAGAAAATATTCTAAGAAAGACAAAAAGAGAAAGAAGATAGTTTACGAGAAAAAGAAAGGAAAAATCAGAAAACGCAAAAAGAAAATGTTCTAAGAAAGAGAAAACGAAAATAAAATATTCTAAGAAAGAAAGAAAGAAAGAAAGAAAGAAAGAAAGAAAGAAAGAAAGAAAGAAAGAAAGTGGAAATTAAAAGAAAATATTCTAAGAAAGACAAAAAGAGAAAGAAGATAGTTTACGAGAGAAAGAAAGAAAAAACCAGAAAAAGAAGAAAGAAAATGTTCATAGAAAGAAAAAACGATAAAAAAATATTCTAAGAAAGAAAAGAAAGAAAGAATGCAGGAAATAGGTAAGAAAGAAAGAAAGAAAGAAAGAAAGAAAGAAAGAAAGAAAGAAAGAAAATGAAAAGAAAATGATTTAAAAAAAAGAGGAAAAGAAAGTTCTACACAATACTATTGACAGGTATCCAGCGTATTTTACTATGTCAGTACATATGTTTAGTTTTTAGTTTTTGCTACATTTATATATTATTTAAAATATGTTATATTTATAGGGGAAGATGACCTAATATTATAGATATAAACGGTATGGAACGTAAGAATCAAACTTCCCGAGGATTGCCAGATGTTTTAGACCAAGAAATTATAGTGATAAAAAGTTAATAAAAGCAAATTTTGTAAGTACAAAGTCTAGCACATTTGGGGACACGCCTCCCAAATATAATCAGCGATATTCCACAGGTATCGTTGGTATAATGAAGTTCTGAAATTATATTTCTATATTATAACTCGTAACTGAATATAAGAATGCTATATTAAGATGAGAAACCGGGAAATAATTGGTTTGTAGTCATAATGCAAAAGTCAGGAGCAGAGATATTCTGATCTAAAATAATGCACCCATCAATCTCTGATAGAAGTGTTGCTATGTTCTACAAACTGGTGATATGCAAATGACTTAGTTAAAGGAATTCTTAAGTTAGGAAAAATAACCTATCCTGTATCAATGATTTAATGCTGCCAATATCGCCACCTCGGCCATAAACGAGAAAAGACAACTTTTTAATAGAATTTCCAAAACTAAAACTATTTACAATTGTTTTCCTATCAACGAATGGTGAGTTAGAAAATCTATTAATTACTGTTTTAGTGATATATGATGAAGAGGATAGCACGGTCTACTTTATTATTTGGAATCTAATGATACGGAATCAAGAAAGGTGAGCGGTTACAATGAGACGGGATTCAAACCTACCTTGTCGAAATCTCCAAATTTGTTGTCAACCTTTTCAAACCCCGGCACCATTTGGATGCTATGATTGAATACTTCATTCGAAGGATCAATGAAAGATGAAGCTCACTACATCTAAACATCATAAAATGCTACAATATTAGTCCACCGATCCGAGATTTCAATAAAAATTGAAAGTTCCCTAATAAATAGACAACAAGCAGAAATACTCTCACAATATCATAACTTGGACCGATTTTAAATGTGAATTAAGTTTAAGTGTCTAATAATTTTTTTTTCTTTTAGATTTAACAACTTAAGTCTTTGGCAATTTTAACCACATCTAGCCACATTGATAAGATGTGATACAGAGAAACAGTCTCTGTGGCTGACAATATATATTTATACTTAAGTAATTCATCGAGTGTAGAAGAAACCTCAACAGAATGCAGAAAGCACTGGACGGCCGTTTCGTCCTATATTTGGGACTCATCAGTAGTACGCATCCACTAACGAGAATTGAAACCCGGACAGTTACGTTACATCAAACCAACTGTTCCAACGGGCCTCGGTGACGAAGATGTAGCGAATCAGATTCGATATACCGTCGCTCGATCACATATTCCGTGGTGAAGTTTCTCTTTTACCCATAAGACTGTGCGCCCACGAGCCACGACTACTATCACCAAAGCCGCTCCATCCAGAGCATTAGAAGCCGGTTCAAGCAAGGATATACAAGTGATAGAAATTAGGAGAATTTGAAATAATTATAATTAAGTAACTCATTGAGTATATATACATCATTTCAAAAGTATATTTAATCGTTCTTTTCAAATCTTTCTTTTCTTTACGTCTTTCAGTTTCTTATCCTTTTGTTTGTGTGTGTGTGTGTGTTTTTTGTTTGTTTTTTTTTTGTTTAATATTGACACTTTGTCTTCTAAATCGTTCTGCATAAGGATTTCCATTTTCTTCCACCTCGAAATCACGTAAACACTTTCTTTTACAAGGCTTTTATTTTGCTTGTTCACATTTCTTCAGGCACGTCTACCCATTTGCAACTCCAAAAAAATACCATAAAAAATCGTATTCGTTTGTTTCCCTCCGAGGGTAAATGCGATCTTTGGTCTGTTTAAATGTGGGACAGCATACGCTCTTGTGCAGGTAAACGCAAAAATTGCGAAGTCCGACCATTTTTTTCCGGGTATCAATCATGTCCCTGACTAGGCTTTATTCATTTCGGACATGTTTCTTGCCTCAAGATGAAATAAGATTCCAACCAAATAACTGGAAATTAATCTAGTTTTGACGTGTATGTTCAAGTAGAATTACAAACTATGCCTGTTCACGATCCGTAATAATCTTGTGACAATAAAAATTGTGCATTTTGTTAGTCCATATGTAAAGATGTTGGAAGGCTACAGCAAAATTGTTCAATTGTTAGAGTAAGCTTTGAACCGTTGAATCTTAGAAATGATTAAAGATATCTTACTGGATTTAACCAAGGATTTTATTACACTATTGAACTCTACTTTGAACAATTAGAATTTGTTTAGCTCTAAGTTGAAACGATGATCCCTCTTACTGTTGTGACCTCCTGATCCATTTTTCTTCTCCACTGTTTTTAAAACTTTTTCACTCTTTCCTTGATGATTTATAAATAGACTTTGACGATGTAGGCCAGAGTATGAATGTTGGTACTATAACTGAAGGCCTGAATAATCATTTTCCTCTCACCATTGTTCAGTTGAAAAAATTTAGTGGGGCTGACACAAAACGTTTTTAACCTGTTCTCATCTACCTCAATAACTCAAAGGTTTTTTTTTCAGTGATTCTTACAACAATTGATGTCAAATTGGCTAAACGTTTTAGCTGAAAATCTGGAAAATAGAAAACTCAATTAGTTTAGTGATTTTTTTTATATTAAACATTTTATGGGGTGGATAATTATTCCATGATGTTACGTGATTTGGACAATTTTGCTGTTACACCCAATATATATATATATATATATATATATATATATATATATATGAAGAAATATACTCTTAGGGTGTGCTATATGTATGGGATAAAGTGCTCAGTATCAGATAAAGCGTGTATAAGTATAAAAGTGAACATTGAAGTCAACATTTAGAGGCGACAAACTGTTTCATGCTAGATGCAATCGTCAGACCACGAATGTTTATTTCTCGGCTCTTTATATATACGGGTCAGTGGTACATTGTGGGTAGTCTATTTTCGCGGTTATTTTGCCTGAAGTCGTTTATTTATTTGGTTTAAATTATTTTGCTTGTTTTTATTTATTTTTTATTTTTTTGTTTATATTTCTTATATATCTAATTTTAATAAATTTGTTTATATCGCTTATTTAATAGTTTTGTTTTGGTTTGGGAAGATAATTAAAACTATTTATTCAATTTTGGGGTTGATTGCTGTAGTTTATTTTAACTATTATTTTGGCGGGAGCAGTTCTTAATTTGTTTATTATTTCATTTATTTATTTGGTTTGAATATCTTTACTTGTTTTTTTTTTTATCGGGATCGGTTTGTTAGTTTGTTTATTTATTTATTTACTTGGATTAAGTTAGATTAATTCATTTTACTTGTTTTTTATTATTTATGTATTATACTGTATATTTTTATTTACTCTTTTCGGTTTTCGACTTTTAAGTTGCGTAGTATTTTTTATCGTTATATAACAGTTACAGGTATGTTTTTCGTCCGATTTTTGGTTTTATTTTTATAGTCTAACTAATATTTTGGTCATAATGGTTTATTTGTTAATTATTTACTTTATTTATTTGGGTTCATTAATTTTGTTTTTTTATTTATTCTATTTCGTCTATTCTAATGAGTGTGATTTGGTAATTTGTTTTGGATAATTTATTTTACTTATTTTATTGTCATTTTGTTTATTTATTTCGTTTTTTAAGTAACGTAGTAAAAATTTATTTTCATGTCTGCATTATGAGATGAGCTCGGATCGTTTACTTAAAAATTTATTTTGGTCCGGGAAGGTAATGATAGGTATTTTTTCCTCCAAGCAAACTTTGCAAGTTTTGGATTGGTTGTTGTAGGCTGATGATCTTTTTCCTTATTTTCCATTTAGTTTAAGTTATAGCTTAATTTTTGTTTGCACGTTTTTGTGCCGGTGTATGTTTATGTATGTGCTTGTATATGTGCACGCATGCATGCATGCATACTTACATACAAATATGCACACATACATACACCCGCACGTGTATGCTTGTGTGCTCGTGTGTGAGCGTCTGTGTATTTGTGTTTCTGTGTGTGTTTAATGGGTGTGTTTGTACGTTGATGCCCCTATATGCGTTCTCGTTTTTATTTTATTTGTTTTTTTTCTACAAAAAAGAGAGAAAATAGAAACTGTTTACATCTTAGACTCCCACGAGGGTGTTTCCCCGATCACCATAATCTGTTCAAGTCTAGAGTTAAGCGTTATCTTTCCATTCTATTCGTTTGAATTGCTTCATAATGTAGCTCTCTACTACGAGTGGCTCCAGGCCACTGTATAGGGTGAGATTTACTGTAAATTATCAGATAATCTAATGTCTATTGACGTGTAAAGGGAAATCGTCATTAAGTGTTCAAACTCTGGGCGAGTCTATTTCGTTCAGTTTTGTTATAATACTCTTAGGAATGTCGTAAGCACGTCTTCCTTCCATTTTTTTTATTTAAGTGGGAAGCAGTTTGGTCTGTCTGAATCTTGTTGGCAACCATTCTAGAGGAACAACTCCGAAGTCCGTAAACAAAAAGGTAAAGTGAACATTTTAACATTGGAAGAGTCAACCTGTCGTAAAGAGGCAGAACTTTAAATTGACGCCTCTTAAAAAATAGGGAGAATTTGGCTACTTGGTCTGGTAGGGTAACCAGTTAAGGAAAAGGAAAATTGAATACCAGTCTGGAGAGAGATGAGCCTCAAATCGTAACTGTTTCAAAGACAACCTTTAATATCGCAACCTAAACTGTATATGTTGAAGAAAAGTGTCTGTTGTTACAATTCAAATGTAATTGTTTACTACAAATTACTAATAACTGAACAAGCATTTCCCGTCCGACGTGAAATGAGAAAAACGCTTATTTATTGTCAAAACAAGGGAAACAAGAACAAATTCAATTTAAAAGGAAATAGGCATGTTGTATTTATGACATAAACATTTATTTTCAGGTGCCACGCTTTTTATGTACTGCATTTGGATTCAGGTGTGAAAACAATCAAGAAACAATATTAACTTTACTCTCTAAAATGAATACGAATAAAAATAGAACAATAATAAAAAACTGATTCACGGTCAAATCGAAAAACCTAACAATGGTTAACTTTAAGAAGTCCTCAAACGGTGACGTTACATTTTACACACACCCGGTAAGCATGTTTGCTCTTAATTGACTGCTTGAAGACCTTAAGCCAAGATATATAGTCGACTATGAGCCTAATTGTAAATAATTAGATAGTCTAATTGACGTGTAAATATTAATTATATACATAGTTAATAATATATATATTATTGTCAATATGTGACAACCCTCAAAATATCATGACAAAAGTTAAATACAACTGTATATTCCGATAGTCATTCAATCCAACTTTTGTAATGTCAACGAATACTCTTTGTCACTTACGTAATGCTCGTAGTAGTAGAGACTTTGTAATCACAGATACAACTATAGTACCGCCGTTGAACAATACAGGTGTCAGACGCCTTTGAATAGCACTCGCACTAATAGTACTTGCTCGATAATAGTCGCTCAAATAGTAACCACCGTATAGTGATCCGAATAGAGAAATAGTATAGTGAATAGAGTAGAAAATAGCGCTCCGAATATTAATAGAGGATAGAAAAGGAATAGCGATCAGAGACACGCTACTACCCACTTAGGCGTTTCTTCTGTGGTCACGTGGTCTACTTAATTCAATAATGGGATCTATGTTCAAACTCAAGTGTCGGCAGCGACACTTTATTTTCTATATAACTCCCACCTAAGTGTGATCAAAACGCTTTGTTCATAAAGTAGTGCCCGATTTCATCTTTTACAGATATCAGTTGATTGTTGCTATTTGGATTCCAATGTACAAGGCAGAAATCAATGAGCGATATCTAACTATTTTCTCGGCGGAGGGAGGGGAGAGAAAAATTATTTAAGGAACTGCACCAATCTTTTTGGCTGGCAATGTTCAAAGTGATCCTTCCTGTTCAATGCTCAATTGCAGCTGAGCAAGCACAGAATGGCATACAAGTACGAAGAAGTCGATATCAATTTCCACAAAGTTTGCAGTTTCACTTTCTCTATGGTACGGATCAAAACGAATTTGCCTACTCCCCACCCGAGCTGTTGTCAATTCTCAAGAACAAAGAAAATGTATAGATTCATTTTCACATTTTTAGGTTTTATTACAATTCTAATCATCGCTTTTTAAAAACAATAAACATTGCCGATGAGTGCAGGTAGGTAAAAATGCGGTGTCATGGGAAAAACCGTCCTTTTTTGCACTTATTGCGAGCATGAATATCCATGCTAACGTACCCCTAACATGATGGACGGGTCTACTCTCAGGGAGGTTCCTTGTCTTGAACGTCTGTTGGGGCACAAGCTCTCCCTAGACCTCAAGTAGGAATCATATAGCCAATCTATTGCGGCAGATATTGGAAAAATGGTTAGTTTATTGTACCGCGCCATTCCTTAGTTCCATCGCCCCCGCTCTGCCATGCCAACTACACAATTCATATTCCAATAGTAAGAACTACCGTATATGCTAGTGCTTCATGCGACCTTTAAAGACTTTATTTTGAAGCTAATTTGACTACAGTAAATGGATATATAGTTTAGTAAACGGCGTGGCTAGCAACAGCAGTACATATGCTAATTTTATATCTCGCGTATAATGCAACCTCCTAAGAATTAGATTCAAAATTAGGTCTTCAAACGTCGCATGAAACGTGTGTATTACGATAAGTTCTATTGGGGCAGCTTCTTCGCAAGAGTTGTGGCTTTGTCGAACAGACTCCCGGCAGGATCTTTTCCCAATCACTACAATCTTGACCTCTACAAGTTTAGGGTTAACCGTTATCTTTCATGCATAGCCCCATGAAATTCACGTTTTGCTCTTTCTTACGTTCATACAACACCACACAGCAAACCTCTAGCTTGAGGGACTCTTGAACTTGTATTAGGGAAACTTTAACATAAAACAGTTCAAGCAAAAGTGAAGGGTCCGAAGACCTCTAGTACTCACAATCTGCAAATCTACGTTTTTGTTTAAAAGTAGTAAATTTCAGTCAGTTAAGTACCATACGTGATACATGCTCGGGCGATCATGACTCTTTCGACTGACTAGGCAGAAGATTAATAAGGGGTGCTGAAAAATTATTATCTAAAATCATTCAAGGTTTTGTTGCTGACATTTCAAGTGGAAGTTTTTTTTTAGACTATTATGACTGAAAAAACGTGGATAATGTAACAGGAAACCACTCCAATATTGTTTCCAAATACAATCTTACCGATTCATCGATAATAATAAAAGGATTCTGTGGAGAGTCATGATCGCCTGTGTTCTTAAATTATATGGTCAGTCGATTTAGTTTCCTACATGATACACGCTTGGGGGATCAGGTCGCTTTCGACTCATGACTTACTAGGCAGAAGGTTTTCTCACAGTAGGTAACCGTTTCTTTCTGCTGTAGGCTGGTTGCCAACAAATGTTATAGCGAATTCCCAAGCGTAGCTTGGATGTGGCACAAGGCCGAAAGTAAAGGGTACCCAGTGAGGATTGAACTCACTACTCAGTCGTAATTGTTCTAGCGAGGCAAGCTTGCTAACCATTACACCACCCCGAGGTGCCCCCAACAAATGTTATAAAACCCAGTCTGTCTTTCTATCAACTTATAGCTGTGGAGAGAACAGACGAATTCATACTTTTCCCAAAGATATTTGCGCGTAAGTGAATGTAACAAACCCGACTGGAATTCGAACTCGGCTTTGCGATTTAGCATTTGGAGCCGATATCCATTACACCGCACATTCCTGTAGCAAAGTTAGTAAACGCTAAAAATAATTCATGAGTGAACATTAAAAGAGCAATTACCTTTGGATTTAGATCGGCAGAATAAGGCAGACTAAAAGAAGAAAAAAAATGGAAGTTCCCCTACTTAAATCAGTTAATCGATCAAAACCGCTTCGCTCGAGCTGGTCTGTTACTGAGACAACGGATTCTTTGATGCCAAACACATCAAAGAACTAAAATTACTTTACCGTTACAAAAGAGAAGCTACACTAGACTTAAATCTTGAAAAATATCATCCAACAAAAATTAACAATGCTGAGAGGTATCACATGCAACGGAATTAGTAGGTTTATTTTATTTTAAACAAAAAAAAAAACAAAAAAGGCTAAAGAACCTTTGATTCTTGTATCGCTATATAGTTGTACTGGGAATGGAGCTTTTAACTTTACGGCTGAGAACCGAGACAGGAATTTTACCTGATAATACAATTCATTAAGATAATCTTCCGACAATAACCTTCGCTGTATACATGTAGTCGAACTTCGATTTCATTATTATATTCATATACACTGATTGTTATTACTTCGAAGACGAGCATTAAGCCAGTGTTTCTCAAACATTTCTACTTTGTGACCCATTTTTGATATGGTAGCAATATTCTATTTGTTTTGGCCTTATCTGATGGGGATAAAACATGACAGAAGGAGTTAAATATTTCCGGAGCTGATAGGTTTCTGATTTGCCAGCATCTTTGACAATAGATTGAATATAAGACTGAGTTTGGAAGGAACTTAAAACCGAATAAAAGTTCAAAGATTAGAACCTCATTGACCATTCTGCGTGACTGATGAAAACCAGTCTAAACCAGTATTTCTTAACCTAGGGGTTCATTTTTTTGGTGTGAAAAAGAATCCAAGACCACATAAGCACAAATAGAGATTACATATCTATCTATAAAAGGCAGGATGTGTGTGTGTGTGTGTGTGTGTGTGTGTGTGTGTGATGTGTGTGTGTGTGTGTAACGAATGCACAGCCACAATATTTGACGGATTTGCACCAAAATTTACATGCACACGCTCCAAGTTAGCGGGAAGGCCAAGACCGACTTTTCATTTCCTAACTCCCATCGATAGTGGAAATAATCGATTTTTTCATACTTCTACAGCAGTTTTCATGTAGTTTGCGGCCATTTTCTACTGGCCAGAGTGAGAGCCAATAGCTGGCTGCCACGAATAGGCAGGAAGATTCTATTGCCCAGCGTGGGAGCCAACAGCTGACTGACACGAATGTTAACTACCATGCTAGCATACAAAAAAAATCGATAGCTGCATTCGTCACAAATGGGAAAAATTTAAATCTGCATGGCACTTTACTCCAATTGGCTCATTCGCTTGCTTAAACTCAACGTTGATTCTGATTCCGCAGAATTGTGTTGGGTGTGAAAAAGTATTTGTTGTTAACATTCTTTTTTCATTCGGTTTTTCCAGTTACGAGTCCTTTTTTAAAGCTGATCGTTTTGTGTTCATTTTGTTTAGTTCTTTTTTCGTAACAGATTTAATGTTTAGTATAGAGTTTAGAAAAAATTCGCAGTGTGAGCAACATCAGCACGGCAAAGGGCACTCCTTTAAAGGCAAGGAAGAGCAAAAATATTTTAAGTCAAGTGATTGCGATTGCTGTATGTGTCGTACGATTTTTGAATCAAGCCCGGGCAACGCCGGGCCATGCTGCTTGTTTTACATAAAATACATTTTATTTACAAAAGCAAAATGCAGAAGAAAATATCAATCCTGACTAATGACTATCCTCCTCCTGGTGTCTATCAGCTTGTCATGGTGCAATTCTGTGCCTTGGTTCAACTTCAGGTGTAAGTCTTCTCTCTTATCAATCTGCACATCTAGGCCCATTAAAAAAACATGTCTCAGGCCCACTTTTGGGCCTAAGGGTTCACGTTGAGTAAGATTGCATTAGACTTTGAAAATCAAGACAGTGGATCTCTCATTCAAAAAAATACCGATGTATCTGATTACCGCTGGTACCGACTGGAAATCTTCTTTAGCATTCCGAGTCTCAAATTTTACCAGATACCGGCCGACATAACTATTTCGTAACTGACCCCTGATAACCGACGTACATTTTTTAAAGGATAATTAGTCAGAAAATTTCAGTAATTTTACCATTTACTGTCCATTTTACTAATCAACGCCAGTCTTTTTGAAGAATTTTATGATCAAAATTTCGGTAATATTTTCCATTTACCGTCAGATATAATTTCACTAATTAACGCGTGACAAGTCTTTTAATATATTCTGAGTCCAAAATTACGATATACTATCCGACATATCGTATTAATTAACGCTCCAAAATGTTTGACAGGCTTGCTATGAGTTTACAATCTATTCTTACAACTAACGACCAGTATATCTGATATGTCCCGGAAAGGGATATATTTGATCGAAGTAGCTAAGTGGTTTTGGCTAGTAGTACAAAGTCGCAGTAATCGACCGGTACCCGTCGTAGTCGCAGGTAATAGGTTTAGACCAATAGGATAGCCAATGGCGTAGTCCAATGGGCGTCGTCATAGACTTAAACTCTGTCGTACCTACATGTCTGTCTGTATTTATGACGGACACCAGCCAATCATATTCCAGTGAATGGGAACTCAGGTGTATGCATATTTCATTATATCATTTTGCAGATTACCAACCGAGAGCTTATGAAAAATGTTTTAAATGCATTCTGAGTCTAAAATTTCAATAATCCAGCCAATTACAGGCCAGCAGACCATTCTATATAATACCGCTCGACAATTTATTAGAGTTTTTTTTTTTTTTAGAAATTTACGAAATTACGAATGGCTACAACATATATCGGACTCTTTAGGTTTACTCAAAAAGAAAATCACAATTTTGGTGCAGGAATTCATGTTAAATGCTTGACAAACGTGTGAGCTATCACCATCCTTAAAACTGTTTCGATTTGAGGCTATGAATTAACATGTTCTCTCATCTTCAGTGACATTTTATACTGATTCGGCAATATTCTGAAAGTCTTCTCTGTCCTCTGCAAGTTTGCGGATTCTTTGCAGATCTTCCTTGATTGCAAACTTCTCCAAAGGATAAATGGGATCTTTCTGCCTTGCTCTTTTAATGTCTCGGTTCAGCCTGGAGAATATGGTGGTTCTTGAATGACCTCTGAACTTTTTGAAGTCAGTCTTTTCAAAGTAAAACTCTATGGCTTTGTTAGAATGGCATTCTGGATCCATTCTGTTTGTTGACATTAGTATGTTTTTTTTGTTTTTTTTTTTTCTTGAACAGTGAGCTGTATTACAAACACACAGTCTGATACTTTCCATCATTGATGTACATCATTCTTTCACTTAGTGTTGTCAACAAATCCGTTTCCATAATGTCGGCCATATATATAATGCATTAGCAAAAAAGCACACTAAGAATTAGCATTGAGTTAGTTGGGAAGAGCATTGGAACGGTCATAAGTACTATCTTCACTGGTTATTCATCATTCACTAGTAGCATATACCAGGCGTCCCTAAGATTAGTAATTAATTGTCTCTCGTTGTTTTTCTCTCTCTGTCTCTTTCCGTCTCTCTCTCTCTCTCTCTGCTCTCCCTCCCTCTCTCTCTCTCTCTCTCTCTCTCTCTCTCTCTCTCTCTCTCTCTCTCTCTCTCTGTCAGAGGTGTGGAAGAATTTGAAACAGAAACATAAATAATGAGCGGGAGGAGGAAAGCGTAATCAGGAGAACAGTAGATAGCGATTGATATAGCATTTAATTTTTGCAGATTACAATTGGCTGTAAAGCATGGAACCGGAAGGTGAGTTCTTGTATCGCTCTAGTAAGTATGTGGCTCACCTGCTATTGTTACAAAAGTCAGTTAAACCGAAAATAGATTATCGTTACCTTAACCGCTGGAGTTACCCAATTCTTCTTTACCAGTCGTGACAAAAAGCGTTTATGCAAACTTGTGGGTTGTGGCTTATTTTCCACCCTACAGCCGCTTTCCCCCAAACGAAATATATTGCTAGTCTTCTCGCTATTCTATCATTATTTTCATGGCAGATGTTCAGTTCCACTAGTCCAGACCTTCACGGCTAAAACCTACTATATCATGTACACTGAATCGGGTGGACGGATATTTGTGTCCCGGACAATTGCGTATCTGGACATTTGCGTTCCTAGACAAATGCGTCCCTGGCTGATAGACACCAGGAGGAGTGTAGTCATTAGTCAGGATTTATATATTCGTCTCCATTTTGCTTTTGTAAATAAAATGTATTTTATGTTAAATGTAATCTCTATTTGTGCTTATGTGGGCCTGAATTCTTTTTGAAACCAAAAATGGACCCCTACGAAGAAAAGGATAAGAAATACTGGTTTAAACTGGTTTTCATCAGTCACGCAGAACGGTTAATGAGGTTCTTTTGTCTTACCTCTGATAATTTTTTTGAAGTTATTATACTTTCTTTTCTTAAGAGTTGTTTATTGAAAACCAACTTTTAATTATTTACTTTGTTCGGGCTGTTGTCCTCATCTTTATTGCCATATTCACGACGTTTCGATCATTGGATTTCGAACTGAACTCTTTAATTCGCACGCCGGGATAGATTTTTCTAGTTTTACGTCTCAATCCACTTCCGGATGTCTCAGTTATCCCCCTTTTACTCAACTCTCCAAGATTTTGTTCACCACTGCAGTAGCCAGGTACCGAACTCACAACTCTTTGGGTCAAGTCACTGGATCTAACCAACGCTTTTACCGACTGGACCATAAAGATGAAGGCCGGAGCGCACAACGGCCGAAACGTCGTGAATATGGCAATAAAGGTGAAGGCAATGTAAATAATTCCAATACCTCATCTCAGAAATACAGAGAACTTTTAATTATTCTAAACAATTATTCTTAATTTTAAAAGAGAAAAGAACATTTTTAATGAGTTGTTTAATATAGAAATTTGTACACCAATACCTTTAATTACTTTAAACTAGTAGAAAGGTAGTTACCACAAATAAAAAAAGAGAGTTTTTTTTTTTTTAAAGCAAGAGAAAATTAAGCAAGCAGTTTCAGTTAACTTCAGCAGTGCATATCACAAACATCTAATAGATTCTGGATTTTATAGATTATATTTTTATTTGGAACCCATGGCTAAGTTCTGAAAATCAAACAGTGGCGAAAAAATATTTGTGGACGAGAAAAACTACAGCGACCGCTATCATAAGAAAAAAGCTGATGAAACAAATATACTAGCAATGTGTAGAACGATCTTGCAAGTGTTAATCTGTCATTGCATTTTGAACAAAAATAAACATTTATTTTATTTCTTTTATTTCTTTTTTAAAAAATTGTTTACTACCTATGTTTTTTTTTCAAAATTTATGTGCCTTTAAAAGCATCAAAATCTTATCAGAGGTACGCAATTATTCACGGAAGCATTTGTCTAGAGATACATATATCCAGAGACGCAACTGTCTGGTATGCAATTGTCCGGGACGCAAATATCCAGTACTTAACTGCCCTAAAACCCACTGAATCGGCATGTCCTCATTCCCTTCGTATTCCATTAATAAGGAGGAAGTTCTACTCAGCCAGCTTTTTCTCTAGAATCACAGACACCCGAATGTATCCCTCTAAGATCACTACAATCTTAATCAGTTCAAGTCTAGTCAATCTATCCTAAATATCTTCATAATACGCACCCTTATAATATGCACCCTTATAATATGCACCCTTATAATATGCACCCTTATAACGGCCTCATTTAGTAAATTTCTCTATCTACTTTCAAAACGGATAAACCCAGTGAGCATCGAAATATATACTAAACTAACGGTATTTTCTTTAACACATTGATTATCCAATACAAGGCTTAAGAGCCACTCAAGGTATTAATTTGTTTGGTATAATAACAATAACACAGTTTCGGCCGTTATACCTTCCGGCCTTCATCAGGTGTATATCGATCTGGGTAACTCACAGGGAATTTGGGAATGAACCATTTATTTAATCTACGGGAGTAAACTGTACTGGTTCCACTACCCATGTCTTTGGATATAGTCGAACCACTAAGCTATTTGCCTACGGAGTAATAGACAAGTGGATTACTTTATTATTATTATTATTATTATTATTATTATTATTATTATCTATAACAGCTCAGTTATTTCTCGTTCGTTTTCATTGAGTCTAAGTACACACTGCCCGGCCCAGGGATTAAACTCACAATTACTATGTCACCAAATTGACGACCCACCGCTTTAATCTACTATGCTCTCACCCCACTTCGTGGATTAAGGCGTTGGTTTCGACAATATCCCGACACATCTGATTGAAAAGTTTTCAATAAGTTCCTGAAGATTGCATTGTGCAGGAAACTCAGAGTTGAGCTACCGGTGAGCAAAAAATATATATTTATTATTATTATTATCATTATTATTATTATTATTATTAAAGAATTTATAGCTTTGTTATTCCACATCGAGCAATATTTTATTAACACCAGCACCCAATTTACGATACTTTATATTATTATTTATATATATATATATATATATATAAGTGAACATTGAAGTCAACACTTAGAGGCGACAGTCTGTTTCATGCTAGACGCAATCGTCGTGGCCTGACGATTGCATATAGCATGAAACAGACTGTCGCCTCTAAGTGTTGACTTCAATGTTCACATTTATACTTACACACGCTCTATCTCTGATATTGAGAACTTTATCCCACAAAAAAGCACACCTTAAGACTATATTTCTTATATATATATATATATATATGTGTGTGTGTGTGTGTGTGTGTGTGTTTAATTCCTGTATATATTATCTATGCGCGGTACTTATTGGAAAGCGCTCAATATCAACGATAGAGCTAACATATTCAGTTGTATGGATATGAGTTTTAACCCTGGGTTTCATGCATGTGCAATCATCAGACAAACTCATAATAATAATGATAATAATAATAATAATAAAACCCACTCCAGCTAAACGAAACTTCCCAAATGTGCATGCATACCATGTTCAAACACCAGTTCTCTTACGATCACTAAAGTTATGCAACGTCGGACCTGGTCACTACCGAGATGGGTGACCACTTTAGAATGCCAGGTGCTCTAAACGTGGATGTACGGGTGATGCAATAGACAATGGCTGGGAATTGTTAATCAGAGAGTCGAGTTCCAATTCCAGTTGGGTTCGTTATATTCACTTACTCTCGCAAATACACTTGGAAAAGATATGAATCCAACACTACTCCCCCAGCTATGGGTTAATTAGTAATACTTGTATCTCTAAATCATTATTATCTCAAAAAAATTTCTTGCAATCTAAACATATTTTCTGGCTTTAAATAACCTGCAAAGCGGTAGAAAATGAAGGAATGAATCAATCAATGAACCATTCAAATGCCCATAGATAACTCTCCAACTGTCTTCTTTTTACTCATAGATCCCAGATTCGACTTGATAATTACATAGCTTTTGCTTTTACCAGATGTTTACTTAGGAGGTTACGGCATATGTTAGCAGTCACGTTAGATTTTGTTACTTTAAACGTTATTTTTAGTGGATACCATATTTGATTAGATGTTCCGTTTATCTTTTTAAACGGTGTTTTATTACGTCTACCGGCCTAAACATCGAGAAATTTCATTAGAGCCCACTAGATTTTTCTCTAATAAGATTTCTTGAATATCCACACTGGTAGACGAAAAAAAATAATAAAAAATAAACGGAACGTCTATTCAAATGTGGGCATCCATTAGAAATATCATTTACAGTAAAAAAAAAATTAGTCGGTTTAATAAATCAAAATTCATTATTTCTTCAGAAAAAGTACGTTAATGCATAAGGATTGAAGAGCTAAACTAGACATGAGTTTATCTTTCATATTTATGTCTCCTAGTCTCTTGATAAGGTCACTGGAATTTTTTATATATGAAGAGCTAATTGATCCAAGATGTACGCGTAAAAATGTTAGCTGTAGTTTTCGCTTGTCAAATTAGGAGATCGACAAATCCATGAGATGATATGTCTGCATTGTATGCTTTGCGTAAACCATAAAATCCAGATAGATTCGGTCTATTATCGACATATTTCATGTGGTTATAGTTTTTAAAAAATGAAAGTAAGGCGATTATGTATTGAACAGGTATTGATAAAATGATAAAAAAATAAAAAGTTGAATGAGATAGGCGAAGTTTAATGTCTAGCCCCACTGGACGACTCGATTTAAATTTAAAAGCGGCGCGTCCCCGTATCTTTAACGTTTCGACGTCAACGGTGGTTTTTGCATTTCTGTTGCTTAATGTTCTGTGTAGGTGCGTGTGGGCGTGTGTGTGTGTGTAAACAAATATAGATATTGACAGTGACAAACAGATATGAAGTGACTAAGATATTAACAGCGATATGTATATAAACAGGCTTTATAGTAACAGAATGAGATAGATAGATAGATAGATAGATATGAAGAGACTGAAATATGAACAT